CTGCTTTCCATGCTTATCAATTTGTTATTTATTTCATTCACAGTATTCTTTATTACTGTTATCTCGGATATCAGCTCCTTCCTAGTTTCTTCTTGTGTCTCCTCAATTCTTTTTAATCTCTCCATTATTGTTTTGATATCTGCATTTGCATTTTGAGACCCTTCATTCTGGGGACTTTGCATTGTTTGTATTCCAAAGTCAATTTTCTCAGTGTCTGCTCTCCCAGGCGTCTGGGAGAGACCCATACTCTTCTTTTGGTTTTTCTTCATTTCTGTAGATTTTTCTCCCTTTACCCCTTTCCCTCCCCCTCTTCAATTCTGTTTTTGAGGGAAGGTGGGGTTGCTTTTATTTCTCTTCTGCGATGACCTGTTCTTCCTTATGAGGGTCTTCTGGTTTTGTTCACTTTTCCCTCTGTTTTACAGTCTGTCTATTCAGCAGTTTGCAGTCTTGGTCCACATTATATAGCCATCAATAGCCTGTTTCCATAGCCAAAGTACAATGCATGTCCAGCTCTGTCAGGAGAACTCAGCTTCTTCTAACCCCTCCCAGACAAGGTGACAATGTTGGGCAGACCCGGGGAGGCTTGAGTCGGCCGCGGGAAGTTTTCTTCCCAAGTGGGGCTTGCGGCGAGGCGGGGGAAGGGAGCTCCGGTCGGGATGTGCGCTGGATCCCGCGCTCCACCCCCGCCCCCACTCGCATCCGCGGGGGGCTCCGCGGTGCGGTTGCTTAAGGGGGCGCCCGGTGGGCCCGGGTGGGAAGCCAGAGAGGGGTCCTCGGGGTGGGCTGGGTGGGATGCGGGTCCCAGACGAAGCTCGGCTCTGACTCTGGTGAAAGTGCTTTACGGTGCAAATTTAAAATTAGAGTGTGTACTTGCTTTTTTTTTTTTTTTTCCTTTTTTTCCTTTCACCCCGGGTACGTGCCCCATCCCCCAAAGTCCTAAGGAATGGATGGATGAGGGGTTCCAAAAGTTGCTCCCCTTGCCGTGCCATTGCCTGTCAGTGTCAATCACGGCTTCTTTATTGGGAAGGGACTTGCGTGAATCTGCACGAGAAAAACAAATGCACATTCTCCCTACAAGTAGCAGCGTTTAGTATCTTTCTTGACCACATCTGCAAAAAAGAGGGGATAGAGACTTCTATAATTAAAGGGAAACGTAAAATGAAAGGAGCTGAAAATAGTGAACTGTGTAGTCTGGGTGGCTGAAGTTTGAAAACACATGAAATTATCAGGGCTGCCAAACAGCATTTCTGAGAAACCCTATCACAGATTGTGAAGAAAATCAATGCTGAAGGAGGAGGAGCTGGCATCATACTTCTCCTACTCCTTTCAATAATCCCAGAAATAGTTGCTAAGGTTTTTTGGTTGTTTTGGTTTTGGTTGGTGGTGGTGGTGTTTGTTTTCTACTGGGGAAAGAGAATATATTGAAAATTAAATCATCAAATGTATCTTAAGCACCACGCTAAGGGAAATTTTGGATACCATCTTTTCTTTAGATTTTCGTGTGGGGAAGGAATGTATTGGCGTTGAAATGCACTAAATAATGGATACAATGTAAATGGTGTAATGCTGTATGTTATAGTGAAGTAATTTAAATTTTTCCCGAACATTATATTATTAAACAATTACAATAATAATGCTCAGTTGTTTTTAATGATAGAAAATGATAGTTGGTGTAATACAGCAAACAAGATTGACAGATTTTCATTGGAGCGAAATTATTGGGGCTCAAACTTGCAAAAACTTTCTAATTGTCTTAAGAAAACTTGCAGTTCCTGTGAGTTCCGTATTGGTAAAGCAGATATTTTTGTTTGTTTAATTTAACTACCAGTTATCTAAAGAAAATTAGTTTTCCTGAAGTCGTATTTGGGAAAGACTGAACAGAGAACCTGTAAGTCATTCTAATCTTCCCAACAGACAGCAAATATCTTCAGCTTAAATTTCCTCAGATTTGGGAATGTTGTTCATAATACAAAAATAGCCAATTACAAAGGGTAGCATAGCTTCTCTAAATTGTCATAAATATGTCCTAAAAACTAAGCCTGAGTATTTAGCTCTCTGGAAAGTCATAGCAATCCTTAGAAAAGATGAATTAAGAGATGAAAGATGATTAAGAAGAGAAAAGATGAATTAAGGGATAGTTAAAATTAAGATGAACTCTCTTGACAGTTAAAGCAATTTAATTGTTCAGTAGAAGAGGATCCATTGTGAAGTCTTCAAGATACAGCCTCAAGTTTCCCAGAACTATCCCAGATATAGTCCTTGCCCTGGCTTCTTGGAGCTTAATTTAGCTCTCTTGAAGCCTGTCCTTTCCAGGAGTTAACTTTCACTGGCTCCCTAGGCACCAGAGGCACACTTTCCCCCTCTAGTGGCTAAGCCTTCCGGTAGTCTCCGTTCTGTCACCCTGCCTCCCCATAAATGGGAGATTTGGGGAGGAAGCATTGGATCCCAGATTTTAGAATTGTGAAGATCTCAGAACCACCTGTGAGACCATCGGGGCCAACGTTTCCCTGTTTTTAACATCCCATGTCCCTCTCTCATTTGCGGAGCATGGTGTGTCTAACACATCCAGAGAAGTCAAGTTTGTGTTTTTATACTAAGATTGGAATTGTTTCATGACTGTAGTCCTGAGTCTATAGTCTTGAAATTCACAGTGAAACCAAGAACACTTGTACACACTGTAGTGATTCACTTTGCTCAAAGTTTCTTTGAAATCTGTGTTTTAGTGGTGGCTAGAGGATGCTTTTATTTCTGCTCTTCACCATAACTGCTTTGTACACATTTATAAAAGTACATATATAACTATCCTGTGCTTGAAAATATCCTACCAGGAAAGGGGAGTACCATGTTCTTTGGCCACTGTACCCAACTGTTGAGTTAAATTTCCACTTTGGGGAGGAGGTGAACGGTAGGGGGGGGCGGGAGAAAATATCCCTCACTTCTACCATTTTTCATGTAGCTGGTTCTTTCTCATCCTTTCTGTCCCATCCTACCTGGCCCCTTAGCTGCTGTCTTAGCACCTTGCAGCCTTTCTTCCTAACACAGTTTGTAAATATTTTATTTGTGTGTTGAGTTTTTACATAAAATCAGTCCTACTAGAATAGATGATCTTTTTAAGGGCAAGGATTATGTCTGTCCTGTTAATAATTGTTTTCTCAGAGCTAACAGTGTTTTTCATGAGTTGGTATTCAAACATTTCCCAAATGAATATGGAGGAAATTACATACTCACCTAGCTTTCATGTATTAAACTCTATTTTCAAGGGACAAAAAGGGTCAGATTTCAAAGATACCTTCTGATTCCAAAAAGAATTTGGCCAGATCTTGGCTCTTAAGTCACATTACAAATATCTTTAATAGCTCAGCTCTGGTTTATGGTCCACATGAAGGATGTAAACGTCTTGGTAGACATTGTAAAATAAAGTTATATTGCTAATATAAATATTAAAATGGTTAAAATTATATATAAAATGCAATTTTGAATTAAATACATGTATGTGACCCCCTATGTTTCATAAACAAATAATTTCATGTTATCACCCAACAACTCATGAACCAGGGTGATTATCAAGGAATGCAACAGGTTTAATTTTATAACCACAAAGTACAATTAGCAAAAACTTTACAAAGCAGTGTAACTAAAAGGCACATTTTAGAGTATGGTTTTGTTTTCTCTGACTGGTTTATCTATTTTAGATTTAAAATCCCTAAGTACCCTTTAAAGGAATTTCGATAAAATCTCATTTTTGTTTGCTCAAGGAATTTACTCCATATATTTAATGTTTGGTTTTGTTTTTAGCAGAGGGTGAGAGGACGTTTTGGAAAATTGTGATTCTTTCCTAATATCAAAGAAGAAGAAACTTTTAGAACCTAATTGTATATTAATGTTTTATTTAGGTAGGTTTATTGTGTTAGATGTAGAACATAATCAATCAGAACAGGTGCCCTAAAATAACTTGATTCAATGAAAAAGTTAAGATTAACAAGCATACACAGGCATAATGTTTTAAAACTGATGACTTGTTTTA